CCCCGTTGCTGTTACTATTGCTCCAGGTGACGATACTCTCTATTCCTCCTCCTCCTCCTCCTCCCCCTCCTCCCGCTGCCGCCTCCTCCTCTTCTTCCTCGCCCTCGCTGTGGCTACCCACGTTCCCCATGAAGCCCTCGGCCCGGCTCTTGTCCTCCGGCTTCCTTCCTCCAGGCGAGCGCCTGTCACAGCTCAGGGAGGGCCCCGTTGCTCGCGTCTTCTTCCCTCAGGCCACACTTCCGCCCAAACGTCGCAAAGCCCCCTCGTCCTCTGGCGGTTTACGACTCTACCGTAAAGCAGAGCTGGAGGGGAACCGGGGTACCGAAGCCCAAGAAAAGATGTAGGTAGCTCCGGGTGAAGAACGACCGGGTTACAGACGACCCATGGTTAAGAACGGAGCCTACGGCAGCAGAATTCGAGTTAAAATCACAACGGTTCGAGCTCATTAAACAGTACTACTGGTACGGTCCATGGCCCCCTGTCGTCTGAGAGAGAAGAGGCTTGCTATCGTTTTTCGGTAACGCCGCAAAACTGACCGTGGCGGTGTGGTCTCCACAGCAACAGAGGGCTGTTCTCATTTTGTGGCAGAGTCGCAAAACCACAGACCCCTAGAGCCATGTTTCTCAACCTTGGCAACTTTAAGCGGTGTGGACTTCAACTCTTTGCGGCCCTCGGTTTGACATAGCGGAACTCGTCGTTTGACGGCAGAGGCGTTCTAAGAGAGAGGATGTTCGAAAGCGTTGATTTTGGCGGAGGGAAATTTGCGGCATAGAGATAAGAAAAGGAAAGAGTCACCTGGTTATTTCTTAAGGTTTTTTTTTTTTTTGCAGATCCAAATCGGCGGCGTAGAAATGAAAAGCAGAAGAGCCACATTCGGGCAGAAACAAGATAGGAGTGTTTTTTTATTTGATTAATCTGTCAAAAAGACGCGCTGGCGGTCCATCTCGCCGAGCAGGAGTTTATTTTCCATGGGGACTGAACAGATGGAGAAATCGCTACGCAGAGCGGAAAGTCGGTAGCAACGGGTAGAATGCCTTTGAAAATGGAAGTTCTGATTATCTAACGCACTGATCCACCAGAGACCACCTGGCTAACCTCTTTTACGTTATACGTGGCCACCTGCGTGCTTCCAGCTGGATTTGAAAGCAGTAGCAGTAAGATATTTATTTGTTTCTTTGTTTACCAACATTCATGCTGCCTACTTGTCTGATGCTCAGCAGATACACTGCTTCTGGCGCCCATTTGTTTCTTTGGGAGGAACAGCTGTGAGAAAAGATGGGGAATCCGGATGGAGCTACCATATCTGGACGGCAAAAATCCAGACGACCAACGGATGCAGCTCTTGACAGCATTTGTTGCTATCAAGAGGATTTTTGCAGCCCAGGTATGGTAGGTAGAATCAGATAGCTCTATATCTATATCTATTTATATATAGCTATCTGGTTCTACCTGTCATATATATACATACATACACACATATACACACATATATATATTACATGCATATACATATATATATGTGTGTGTGTATGTATGTGTGTGTGTATATGTATATGTATATGTATATGTCTGTGTCTGTCTGTCTATATCATACATACTGGGCAAGAGGAAGCAGGCCAGCATTTCTTAAATTGAAAAACTGCATTGGTTCCCCTAGGTAGGCATTCTCAAAATGTAGTCTGGGGACCCCTGTGGGCTCCGGATACCCTTTCAAGGGGTTGCAAAGTAAAATACATATTTTTCAGTTTTAATTTCTAATACAGTATGTATTGATAGATATAACCCACATAAACCAAAGTTCTTTGGGGTTCAGAGTTGCCCACAGTTGCTGGGAGTTGGGCAGCATATACATTTAATAAATAATAATAATAATAATTATTATTATTACCCTCAAATCATTTTTAAGAATGGAAAGGGGTCCTGAGACTACAGTGTTTGAGAACCACTGCCCTAGGTAAACAGCAAGTGGTTGAAGACCCTGCACTCCCCCTGCCATTTCAAGATTTCTCAGGCAAACCAGATATTAAAAATCCCCAAATACAGCACAAAAACGCAGTTCTATAAATTACCCCCTACATTTCAAAACTGCTTTTTTATAATGGCCTGTCAATAAAAACAGGGACATGCTTATAAAAACAAAATTCTGATATCAAAGATTGCTGCTTAAGTCTCCCTCCTTTTTCCTTACTCTTGCAAGGCAGTGGCACGCTAAGCCAAGCGTGTCCCTTGTATTTAAAAACATCACACCCCTCTCCTAAATTATGTATCAGCACTTTAATATATTGTACAAGTCTAGCCCATTTAGTTAGTTTATGATTCATGGGTAGAGCCCAGATAATAGGTTAATTAAGCAAACTCTTTAAATGTATTACTTGAATACAGCCATTCATTGGCCCAGTTTTGTCACTAGAGGCCTGTGACATGGCGAATCTTTCTGTATTATTATTTTTTTTTTTTTCTCGCCTTGTTTATATATAACTCAAGGTGACGAACATATCTAATACTTCTGCCTCTGTTTTCCTGCAACAACAACCCTGTGAAGTGGGTTGGATTGAGAGGGAGTGGCTGGCCCAAAGTCACCCAGCTGGCTTTCATGCCTGAGGGAGGCCTAGAACTCTCAGCCTCTGTTACACACGCTGCTCCCAGGCTTATGGTCACTCACTCACACACACACAGCCTGTTGAG